ATTAGTCCCCGCCACCGCCGCCATCGGCGCCTCCACTGCTGCTTCCCTTGCTCTCCTCGACTCCTCCGGATCCGCCTGAGCGGCCGCCGCGACCGCCTCCGCCGCGGCCACGACTGCTGCTGCGGCCACGGCCGCCGCCACGACCACGACCTTGCCCCTGACTCCTACTTCAGTACCGCTCCCTGCGGCCCTCACCGTCGGCGAAGTACGCTTGCTCTGGGCCCTTCGCCCCTTTTCCTTTCCCCTGCTCCAGCTTGTCCTTGATCGCCTTCATGGTATCTTCCACTAGTGACATTGGCTGGCTCATCTGATCCGTCAGCGAGCTAATTTTCGTCCTCAGGGCCACGAGCTCTTCCCTTGACCTCTTTCTGTCTTCCGCCGCAGAGTCGCTGGAGGAGTCACCCCCATCTTTGCGACCTGACATTCCTAATGGACTCTCCATCGAGGGACTGACACTAGTGTGTTCGTATATGTCCTTTACTTGGAAGGGGAAGACGTTTTATCTCTTGTATTAGACACGCAAGGNCTTGTATTCGATCAATACTTCCTTTAGCGCACCGGTCCGCGTCAACTCCTTCGCGTGTCGCAGGTTGTGCGTTGTCATGGCATACTCGTCCGAAAGGGCATCCAGGAAGAGGTGAAGGACGAACGTTTCGTTGATAGTTAGTCCTTTCTCGGTTAAGGACTTTGCGGTTTGGAGCATCTCATCGAGAGAGTTTTGGGGGTTTTCACCTCTAGAGATCTTGGTCGACGTCAGGGACTTGAGGTTCTCTGACGGCTGTACAGATGATTCAGGGTCGTGTATGGTCTTGAGCTCACGAAGAGCTCCCTGGGGCGTCTCTGCCCTCTTCATGATTTTCCGATCTTTTTCTTTCAACGCGTGAGACAGGAAGTTCCACGCGTGGAATGCGAGCTCTACTTGCTCGCTCCGGTACTGCTGTGACAGCGAAAACTTGCGCTTTCCGCTGATGACGGGGATCTCCAAGCTCCCGCTCTCTTCAAATTGTTCCAACAGGTTTGTGCCATCAGCTGCCATGCGGAAATCATTTAGCCATTCGTTGAAATCTTTCGATTTCCCGCTGAACGGAGGAGAANCGCAGGTACCTCCCGTCCTGCGCACTCCCGGTCCACGGTGCCCCTCCTTCGGCGTTCGTGGACTCCGCGGCGGCGCTCTCCCTAGCACCGCCGCGATCAGCGGCACCCTCCATGGTGCCAGCTGGCTCCTCCTTCTTGCTTGCCTTCATGATATCTTCCACTAGCGACATTAGCTGGCTCATCTGATCCGTCAGCGAGCTAACTTGCGTCCTCAGGGCCACGAGCTCTTTTCTTGACCTCCTTCTGTCTTCCGCCGCAAAGTCGCTGGAGGATTCACCCCCATCTTTGCGACCTGACATTCCTAATGGACTCTCCCTCCAGGGACTGACACTAGTGTGTTCGTATATGTCCTTTACTTGGAAGGGGAAGACGTTTATCTCTTGCATTAGACACGCAAGGGGAGTAGGGAGAAGTGAAGCCCTCTTTAGAGTTCGAGGGGTCCCCCCACATGTAGCCATTTCAAGGTATAATTATGTCCCATCTGCGTGCCCTCTGTTGTTGCCGGTAGATCTAACCAGTCCGTATCCAAACACACGAACAGTATTCCCCATTGTTAGCCGCATCACATACTTTCCCACCCAACATCCGCACGGAACCCATAGGCGTCAAACTTTGTGAAGCACATGAAGGCGAACAAGACACTCACCTACCTCGACCTCAGCCACAACCTCATCGGCAGTCAGGTAAGGGGCCGGCCATCAAACCGTTGCAAACGTCTCTCACGGGAAGACAACGCATAACACCTGGCAAACCCCCCTGTTCGCGAATAGGAATGTGCGCTTGAGAGTTCGAGGCCCTCCTTGATACACACTCCGCTTTGCATCGCGTGCGTCCACGACACTTTCCGCTTGGTCCAACCCGGCGGTCGATGTGGATACCACACGATACAGAGGTCAGTACGTTTGACGCGAAGGCATCAGGGTCGCCACCAACACCAATAGAACGAACCCTTGAGCAACAACAGCCAGCCAAACCGCACAGGTTTATTGGCGTCTAGAATATTTCTTCGAGAACCGAGCGTGCGACCGCCGGTAGGCCTATGGTGAAAGAACGGCAGCATTATTTGTATATGGGCGTCTCGACGGCAAAGCACCCAGCAGGTGTTGATTAGACATGTTCCCGTCGATTTCGTCCAGGAAAGCATCAACTACGTCCGGCCAGAGTTCTACACGGGGGCCGAGGCGTTGGCCGACTGGGTATCGACCGGAAGCTGCCCTCTCAAGTACCTTGATGTTTCGTGGAACACCATCAGGCTCGACTCGGCTGTTTATTTTGGCAATGCCGTTGCCTGTGAGACGCTTCGTACATGGTCAGAGCATCACTACCGTAACGACATGAATCGCTTGTGGAAGTCAATCGACAAGTACTAGCTCCTGTCCCGTTTTGAACCAAGAGCACGAACATGTCTCGGTTCCGGTTCATTGCATACGCCGTACGCATGTGTATCTACGTTGCATCAACTGCCCGTGCTTCAATATCGACGAGCCATCATGTCGTATCCTAGAGTCCACTACAACTCGACTGTCGCTAATATCAACTCCCATTAGCACCGTTTCGTTGTTCACGATCTCGCGTGACCGGCACGAAGAGCTTGCAAGGTACATTTCCGTAAGCTTTTGTGTAATTCTTATCCCTGGCCGTTCACGGTACCGACAGCACCATTTTTGCCGTCAACACAGCGTAATGCCTATTCCTGTCCCGTTGCCAGACGCTACCGACCTGGAGACGCTAGACTTGAGCTTTAACTGCTTCGGAGCCAAAGGAGGGGAGGCAATAGGGGCTAGCTTGCACCTCAACACCAGCCTGAAGGTAAGCCTTCCCAAATATCCTACACCCTTCTCAGATGTCCTACATGGTGCGGTGTCGGAACTTGGATATAGTTTTACGGTTGGAGTGTGCAATGATTTTCCGTAGTGGACATCTCATTACTTGGTATGATAGTCTGGCCTAGCCACACCATGGAGAACGGCGTACTGTGCCCAAGCGTTTCTGCGTGGTCCGGTAAATGTTTGCCATGGAACGTGTCGGCAGGAACTACACGATCCAGACCAACCTCATGTTTATCATGATTGCCTGTTCTTCACACTCGACACTGCAATGCCGTTGTTTCTGGTGTTGTCTTCATTTCCTCACCATTTTCCCCTACTGCACGATGAAGGTGCACTAGGTAAGGTTGCGCCGTAGCGATATATTTCCATCCGTTCAGGATACACATAGACGTCGTTGAAGCCGCTGCATACACCGTCATGTCTATTACAACTTGTCAACCGTACCCCATTCGGAAAGTGAAAAATTGTTCATGGCGCCCACCATGCCGAACTGGATTCTTGAATCAGCCGCGTTCCATCTCAACCCATGTCTTACCCTCTTGTTCATCCACGACGTTAGACACTCAGGCTAGCCAGCAACGCTATCAATCCGCGAGCGTGCTTCGTCATCTGCCAAGGGCTGATGCAAAACTCTGTCATCCGCAACATCGACCTCTCAAATAACCCTTTGGGAAAAGTTGGAGTTGGGTGAGTCCATCCTCGTATCTTTACCGGCGTGTGACAAAGATGGCCCCACTCCAGTGCTGAGGGCAAGGCTCACAGAGTCTCGAGAGTGGCTGACAGCACATTGCCGTCGTTGAGTCACGACCATAGATGGTATGCCGTTTGATCGACACAACGATTCCTTCCTGATGAACTTCAAGCCTCCTCTCCTGTACGTTCTGTGACTCTACTGCTGAGTTTCTGTTCACGGGTCGCTGATATGTGGGCAGAAGGAACTGAAGCCATACCTGAAACTGGTTTCATATACGACAAAGACCATTGACGATTGCTGAGGCACCACCACCTGGCTTGATGCCGAGCGCGCCGGCTGTACACAACCCAATGACGGGGTAGCTTACAAGGGCGTCGACGATCAGGTCGCCCATGAACTGGAAGGAGGTCCTACACACAACGCTGTCGTGAAGGAAACATGACGGACGTTCATTCCGCAGGCGTGCATGTAGCACTGTACAAAAAGCAGCCACTAGACGGTCACTTGGCAGATCCCACACAAAGCACTTTGTCGTGTACCACCTCTTGCTTTGGGTTCCCACTGGCGCAGATGCGTGATGGAACTTCCCGCGGAGGTTGGGGACAGCATTAACACGGAACTGGCCAATTGTAACTTCATGGTGGACTGCGAGGAATGTTGGTTTGACGATGAAGAGGTGAGCTCGAGTCAGGTCCACGAATGAAGAATGTCATTTTTATCTATACTGGCGGCACGTCGCATACCTCTTCACGGGCGAGGTGTTCCAAGGCGTCCTTTGACACCACAAATTTCGAATACTTGACCTGTTGTTTTGTGGTTTTCGAGAGAGGCGAAAAACAAAATACAGTGTTAAGCTGCAGTTCAGCATCGAACAGAACTGCTGGCGGCCCCACTCAGAGCAGCACGTGTACATCGCAGACCCTCATGCTATAAAGGCGCTTGATTGATTATGCCATTTGTATGCATATAGCGTAGCGTTTGGTGAGCGACGAGTCTCAACGTGGTAGGTTGACCCCTTCCCACCTTGAACGGTGTTGTTTCGTTTCAGCTGCGATCGTCGTATCATCTTCGGATGGACGAACCGTACGACCGGGCTGTGGCTTTCAATCTCGTCCGACGTGCGGCAAGAGATGAAGGACTCAAGGTAATTGACACAAGCCTTGAGGTATCCCACCTTGTGCACCGCATGGGCGATCGCCTGCCAGCGATAAACGTAGCACCGCGATCACGATTGTCGAGACGTCGGACCATACGAAAATTTAACTTCTTCTCCCGACCCTGTGATTTTCGGTCGCGGCGATCCTTCGGCGATGTTCCGCTTCTGCAGTTGAAGATGGTTGTACACACCATGGCTGGCGAGGCTGAAAAGGAGATACACCTCGTCAAGGGCACCGGCATGACTAGCAGGCAAGGCACCGCGATAACAATACCTACGCAGTGGGTCGACTCAGCACCTTAAGGCTTTCTGCTGACTCCTTACGGCGATCATTTCCTATGGCCGGAGGCAACTGGCAAAACAAAGCAGATAGAATTGTATGCTCGACCTGGAATCCGCTGTGTTTCCACGGTATTCCTGTTGCTACCCATTTGTGACACCTACCAAGGAGATTCTCTAAAGGTGATTGGCCACACTCCGCATGTACGAAACACCCTCAAAGGTTAAGACAAAGGGTGGATGTCGACTTTGTTCTTTATCAACAACAGGTTGTCCTTGGATTGTTACGTGCTGCGCCTGGTGCTGGTCCTGTACCGAGATCCTCTACAGTTACTGTAAGAGTGCCAATGCACAAGGGGTATCATCAGACACGCTGCTTCTGCCTCTCAGCCGGTTCGAGCCGGAAACATCTTATCATCTTCCAACCAACACAACCCGGACAGGTTGATCAAGAATTTAGTTTTTTCTCCGACCGGCTAAACACATTCCCTTCCCCTCGGCGTGCAGAGACTTCGCAGACAAGTCTACGCGGCAAGCAATCTTCAGGAAGTACGACGAATGCGCCACCGGTGGCTTGGAAAGGTGCGGATAGACCGACAGCATGCGGCGCAGAGCGACCAACGTCGAAGCTCGGTAGCTGGTGTTGGCGCCAGCTGTGCAAAGCGGGTCCCCATCGTATCCACACAAACCAAGCTATAAACGACGTTTGTTGGGAAATAATCTACATGTTTACCGCCACCCCCGTTCGTGCGTGCACTGAAACCTGTTGTATGGTACGCGCTCTCCCACCGGCGCACCCGGCCACTATTGGCGACTTTTTTGGCAGCGAGGAGCTGGGAAAGGCTTTGGAAGAGTTGGGCTTAGGTGGCGAGGAGCAGGTTAGGGCAAGCCTCCGACGAAAGCGAAAAATTCACCACGATGTAGCGCTCACGCTGGCACGTCTTTGGGCCTCATTACTGGTCAAACCCCCTCGGCCATTTTCTCAGCAGCTGAAGCCATCGCAAACGATTGGAGTTGCATGAATGCTTTGGCAGACAATTGCCAATTGGTTCCCTGAACTGCCATGTGCTGAGCCTCGTCTGAAGACCGTGACCTGCCATTTGCCTCAAGCAAGACTCAATCTGTGCAAGGGTATGCTTCCGATTGGATTGGCAAGATTTCGAATCAGGATTGCTTAAGAAGAAGACGTATGACAGATATATGCAGCACTCGATGCTCGGAAATCTAACCAGGTGGACATGTGCATGACGAGGCACGACGACGGCAGCGGGCAAATTGACGAGTCCGCATTCCACGAATTCATCGAGGAGAGCATATTGCAGTCCAAGAGGGGGGAGGGCAGAAGCAAGGTTTGAGTGCAGGCACTGTTCATCTACTTCTCGACGGGAGCTGCATGTTGCGTAGGCTTTGGTTTGTAGGCCCGCGGTTGTCCAGGCCCAGGAGACAGTAAAGCGTGCCTCAGAAGGCGTCGAGTGCCATCAACATCGGTGGTCACGAAAGCCGCTGGTTCAGGGCGGCGTGGCATCGGTGCCCGCGTTACTCTGCCTGCCTGCACGGTGCAATGAAGAGTGTTTTCGAACAACGCGCGACTCACATCCAACGCGCAAATACTTTGACTTAGTCGGAAACTCGCTCTCCGCTGCTACAGGCGTTTCTCGCGGAAGAATCTAACCTGACCAAGCCGTGGATAGTCCCTCCGGAGGGTCAGCTACGGCTCGACCTCGAGTACCAGCGCCTTCACAACCAGGTAACGAGCACGCGCAGACGTTGCTGTTGTTGTCGCTGGCATTTTGAGGTTAATGTTGTGTTGATTTGTCGCTTGTCTCGCTACACGTTGTGACACAAAGATCCTGATGTATATCGTATAGCCTATCCACCAATATCGTGCACCAACCTCCCCTTCTTGACGTGCCCCCAAGCCTTCTGCTCTCTGTCTCTTTGTTCCCTCTCTCATTTTTTTCATGTGGCTTTCTCGCTCACTCTCCCAGGGATATCTCACGTCGTTGGAGAGCACGGATGGGTTGTTAGCGATGCTGTCCGGGATTGGCGACGGCCTCGCAGACGTGATGACGCACGCTCTCAACTTCGTTTCTCTCAATATACACCAGGGAATGAGGATGTACAGGACCGTCTGCGCAGTAAGTCTCGAAAATGAAGGAGGCTGTTCTGGTTTCTGTAAGAGAAAACAATTGAAGATCAAAGGTCGAAGTAAGTAACAACCCTTTACTGTTACAGCAGACGGATTGTACCATGCTGTAACTTTGCAGAAGCCCAGGGGGGAGGACTGAGCGTGTCCTGATACAAATGCCTTCTTTGTCTGAACGTAGAGGAATTCGTCAGAGGTAGTAAATAAACCGCAAAATACTTGGAATTGTGTTCAGCCTTTACGGGAAGAACTTTGTACGTTGTTCACAGGGGAACTTTGAATGCCGAGGGCTAGAGCCATCTGCGTGTTTCGATTGATGCTCTAACGGGCGTAAACGCATTCCGTATTTCACGCAAATCCAAGCCCTCCACATTCCGACGGAAACGCTACGATGTTGTCAACGTCTGCGTCGCCATCAGCGTTTCTTTCCTTCGTCAATCAGGCGACAGCGGCGGGAAGCGTTCGGGTGTGACACACAACGTAATGACATTGTAGTGGCACCTGCACAACTGTCACCTTTCCGTACTTGCACGAGTCAGCAGGTGGGGGGAGACAAGTTCAAAGCCCTGGCAAAGGTTATCCCGAGAATGGAGTACCCCAGTGACGCTCGTGTGCTCAAGACTACCGTTCTCAGGTGATGCTGTGTGCTGGTGTTTTCCATGTGAACTATTCTCCACTCTGTCTCTGTCTCTGCTCTGTCTGTCTGTCTGTCTGTCTGTCTCTCTCTGTCTCTCTCTCTCTCTCTCTCTCTCTCTCTGTGTGTGTGTGTGTCTGTCCCTGTCTCTGTCTCTGTCTCTGTCGCTGTTTGTCTGTCTGCCTGTCTGTCTGTCTCGTTCTCTCTATCTACCCCGTGGTTGCGTCTGGGAATTCCATTTCACTGTGCCGTCTTGGAGGAGAACCGAAAGAGCGGTTGTAGCGTACTTGTGCGCCGAAGGAAGTCGTAGTCGCAATGCGGTATGTCGCCAACGAGATCCCGCTTTGGGAACCTTCACATCGACTGTTATCTATAACACCCGTTGTCGAGGTTCCATGAGGGAAAACTCCTTCGCACCCGGTGTGAATGTCATCATTAAGCCCATAACACGTTGCTATCAGCGGCCTGCAATTTCGCGGTGCCGTGCCGACCAGACACCATGCGTTGCTGAGCAAGGTACCAGCCTCAGTGTTTACTTAACATCCACCATCCACTCGGTGGCCGACGCAAGACAGCTTTCGTCGCTGCGTTCGTCCCGCCATGACTTGGACCAAAGGCATCTTACTGAGAAAAATTGTATGTATATACTACGCGGAGAACAGTGAAGAATAGGTTGGAAGCACGTTTGAAGATTGCCGATGTCGTTGCCACAGATAACTGTTGGCTCCAAGGCATCCACCGAGTGCTGTTCCATCGAGACCACGACCAGCTCACTCGTCTGCGAACAAATGCGGTCACCTCTTTCGTTTCCAAAGGCACCTGGACGAAAGGCGCAGGCTGAAGCACGAGCTTGGCCCCGCGTACCGGCCACTCATGGGGACCCCGATGGGGCACTACGAACTGGACCTGAGCAAGCCGATGCACCAGCTTGCTGCTCGGAAGGTACCGCAACATGTTTCTCACGCGGTCAGGGTGCATGAGTAACAGCACGAATTACCATTCAGACGGGGTTAACAAGTCATTGCTGCAGGAACTATTCGGCTGAATAACCGCAGGGCACGGCACAAACCTATCGGCACACTCAGCCAAGCTTCGAGACGGACGGGTAAAGTATAGCATGTCATGCGTTCGTGGTGGAGGATACGTGTCGAAATACAGAGCGAGCGTTCCGGCTTTGCCTAGAAAAAGACGATGACGAAGACGTCCATTGGGCGCCGCCTAAATGGAGAGCACTTGACCACGTGGTGCAGCACAGTCGAAGTTTTGGCGTGCTGCGTTCCCGACCAACGTGGACCTCTCTCTCTCTCTCTCTCTCTCTCCCTCTCTCTCTCTCTCTCTCTCTCCTTCTCTCCCTCTCTCTGCTGTGACCAAATACGGTACATTTCAACCAATCCGACAGAAAATATACAGTCTACGTTAAGCTCTTCATCAGAATATTTATTCCACGTCCACGTATCGTTCAAGCTCGTCGCTTGGACGGGGTGACCAGTCGTACGCCCCGAAGCTTGTGCTAACGAACCTGAAACGATAGCCCTGTTCCTCGAGCTTCTTGCCCCCGCGCTTCCCCGTTTGTGTGCGTGCGTGTGCGCGCGCGATTCAGATCTTGGAATGCAACAATATGGAAAAGCTAGCGCGTCAGACTGGGCCTCTGTCGGTGTTTGACGCATCTCAGAAGGGGGACTGGGACAACACTCGGAATGAAACCGTGAACGGCAAGCCTTACCGCTTGAAGGGTACCATTTTGGAAGTACTGCCCCAGGTGCGCGCGATTCTTGCCGTGTGGAACAGCTATCAACAGTGCTGTTCGGAGTAACTCACAACAGTAGCAGCAGCGAGATGTGTTGCCGCAGCTCGAGCGTCGTACACCGCAAGCAAGCGTGCGAAAGACCTAGTGCACTCCAGTGTTAACCATCAATATTTGCCTCGGTTTTATGGCAGCCGATCCTTGGTTTCCCTAAGTTATTAACACCCGTACTGTTCGGGCAGCATCCACAATAGGCGCTACCCCGTCGTTGGCGTTGCTCAATACTTCCGTTGCATGGGCCGTGAAGCGTACACTTTCCTTTTTTTTTTCCAAAGTTTTTCCGTTTGCCGGAGGTGCTTCTATTTTGCGTGGCTATGGTTTCTGAAGCGTCGAACCATTGCATTATTGTTCGGACCGCGACGCCGGCGCAGACTTCGGGACCCAGACAGGAACCGATAAATATCGTTATTGGTGCAGTTCAAGTCCACTCCAACACGTTCACCCACGGAAACGAAACAAAAACAACGGGTAAAACCATGCTGGTGGATCCCCGTGCAATTGTCTGGGTGGATCGATCTTGAGGACCTCAGTCGTCCAAAGCGTACACAACGTCACCGTTCGACCCGACCCCGACCTTGACAACCATTGAATTCGTTTGACGGACCCAAAATACATTGAAGCCAGGCGGGCACTCTGGAGATCGACTATGTGTCAACATCGCGTCCACCCTTTCGGAGCGGCCAAGGCGCGCAGGCCGGAAGAACACATTGCATGAGTACAACGACGTTCTGCTACATGCTGAAAAAGATTGGACTGGGCGACGAGGAAGCTTGGACTGGTGGAGATGAGGCCGATGTCGTGGATGCCGGAGGACCACCACACGCTGGCGACGAAAAGGCCTCTAATAAAGAAGCTGGCGTTGAATGGAGCCGCGTGATTGATGAAGCCATACGAAAGGCATGTAATTTCACGCTAAAGTAGACGAAGCGTATTCCGAGTAGAGCAACTTTGATCACGCTGGTGGTGGGAGCGGTAATGTTCCTTCAAGCCGATTGGCAACGCTGTCATGGAGAAAGAACGCTTGTTTTGCGGGCGATGTTGTTCAAAATGCACATGTGTGCGTGCCATGATGTGTGCGTGCCATGCTCAACCACGAGCAAATGAACCTCCGTGCTCCGTCAAACGTACGAACATCTAGGTGAAGTTGACTGGCGCTTCGGAACTTTGCAATGTTGTTTTCGCCGCCCTTGCCAGTCACCGCCCCGCCCGCGAACTCGAAAGATGTTCGAATACCTGCACTTCCTCATGACCGGCGAAGGCCAGCCGATGGGAAACAAGACCATCCCAACTAGGCCAAGTGCTGTGGACAAAATAGCGCACGGGGCGGTCTCTAAACAGGTCATTATCCAATGAATGTTCGACTAGGTGCATATGGGTCTGGAACACCACGTGCAACCCGATCCCCAACCCCACGTTTGTGGTATATCCCAAAGAGAAGGTGGAGGGTTTCGACTAGCGAAACGGTACCTGGGTGGGGTTTTCGGCGCGCAAGCAATGGGTCCTGCACGTTATTTGGGGTTCGGCGTTGACATGATTATTGCTCGCTTGGTAGTCAAACAAAATTGAGGATTGTTTTGACGTTTACAAGGTCTTCGGGGCTCGTGACTGTTCGAGAATTCTCTGCGTGCCTGAGCAAAAGCTCTTACGTACGACCGGTGTCATTGTGTGTGGCAGGTCCTGCCAACAAGACCGTCTGCATTGCCAGCGCCAGCGAGACGGCAATCTGTTCTGCCGCCACGACCGGAATCTATTGTACCCTCAAGACAGGTATCCACCGTATCTCCAACAAGAAACTCTACACAAGTGCATGATGATGGGCTGAACGAGAAGGTCATCTCGCGCACGGGTACGCGTTTCGCCTGAGGTAGAGGAGTTTTCTTGTACATGTTGGGTGTACGTGTTGGGTACACCACACCACGCACGCGCCTCGCGTCCTGCATGATGCCTTTTTCATGCCCAGGCATTTGTGATTCCCTTCATGTATCCGTTGGGACTGCTGTGATGCAGGGTGCTTGACCGAAACCCGTCGCTATTTTTAGATGTCGTAGTATAGTGTTTCCGATTTTGGTCGTGCTTAAGCACAAAACGATTGAACCGCACCAATGTGGCATGTTGGAGATTTTGTAATTCCACATCCTGTCCAAGTCGGCCACGCAAATTTAGAGTGCTCGCACACTCGCTTGCATTTCACCGTCGACGCACACGACGACTACATCGTGAGCAAACAACCGGTTTGTGGATGCCCGAAAATTGCACGTGGAGTGACGAGACCCTGCCAAGGATCCTGAGACAGTCTGTAGTGATCGATACGAACTTCCCAAAGAATCATAAATCGAAGAAGAATCCATGCTTGTCTCAACAATCTTTTGTAGAAGCTCGATTGTCATTGTACCCTGGACGTTCTTGCTTCCTTCCTTTTTTGGAACGCTAACAGGGAAGGGGCGAAACTCCACGGGGACCAAATCGAATTCGTCGAGATCGGCAACAGGCCTTTCCTTGACGGGCATGGATCTTCGGGCAACCATCGGAATCAACACCATGGCTTGCCGACTGGACGAGCTGATGGCGGACAAGTGGTTTTCCATCGATCAGGTATGCGCCTATTGTCTAGAATCACTTCTTTGATCCTCTTGCGTCCTTTTGTGGCAGTTTCGTACCTGTGTGCATCGCTTAGTCAAAGCCGTGTTGTCCTCGATTGTCTGCTCCTCAACGCCGTCAGAATATGCGGAACGGAGTCGAGCGGAAAACATGTTGGCGAAAGCCTGACCTTGTTGTGTCAGTTGATAGACCGAACAACGAGCATGAAATTAAGCCGGGCCTTTCAGGCTCTCGAATACTTCAGCCGCACGCATTGTCTGCATCCTGGCATGATTTGTCGCTTCGTTAAGCAGTGCCGCTTCTTACTGCTGGCGGTAAAAGAAGCCTACGAAGGAGATGACTTCCTTCAGGACGTTCTCGTCGACTTCGTCGTCTCGGTCTACCCCCGTATTGTGAGAATCGTAGGAGGCACATTGCCATTTTCTGCCCCTGATTTAATATAGGAGTCATGAGCCGTTTCGTTCGGACATCAACATTTTCGTGAATCTCTGGTACCAACGCCCTCGTCGACTATACAAGCACAGCAGTGCAACCTCGCGTCGTTCCACCAGATAGAGCGGGAGTCGTTGTGTTTTGTTTCAATGACAAGTCAGGATTATCGGAGAAATGAGACTGGGGGGTGAATGAACAATTTGATTCGGAAGGGCATGCCACAGGTGTGCAGCACATACGATGAGACCCCAAGCAAGGAGCCGCAATGTGAGTATCAGGTAGACGTCAGATTTCAATGTGGTACAAATTACTGCAGGCACGTATATGCTCAAACAAATCGGCATTTCGCACGACTTTGTTTTCCAACCGGATTATCCTGTAGCTGAGTTTTCCTGTCCAATATTTTCGGTAATACAAGGTGATGGTGGAGGAATCGAAGTGCTGAAAGCTCGTAACATATAGGGCGTGCTGTGCTCTGTAGCTTGACCAGCCAGCGGCGTTCCGTCAAATTGTCCATTGTACAGGTCGACGTGTACGACTACATGACCCTTGTTGGCTGTCTGGAAGACCTTGCGCAAGCCTTTGTTATCAAGCGGGTGGGGTGGTTGGCAGCCTGGAATCCTTGTCGTCCTGAAGGATATATGGAGCTCTCGCTAGATATACGGGAGGAGCGTCAGGTGGCGAAGGTGGGGTTGGTTGGAGGGGTACGCTCTGCTGTTCAAATGAGAATAATACCCTTCCACCTTGTTTTACAACCAACATATTCCCCGTTCCCTAGCGAATATTGCTTGGAGGATGTCTTCACCTAGGTCACTGGGCTCAAAGTGTCCAGTCCTTGGTTTGCAGCGCTGCTCGGACGTATATCCCTCTAATATAGATGTGGATTTGTGACAAGGGGACATCGGTGGCCTCTGGATTACATTTTCCAACGAAGGACATATCAAAACAGTTAGGCTTGAAGCAGATCCTCGCGTCGAGCGTTGGCGTACAGAAAACCCGTTAGCAGGTCTCACTAACGGTCGAAGGAGAGACGCTGAAAAGAGCCCGTTGAGTTTGTAGCGGTGCATGCCTAGACTCTTACACTCAACGAGATAACACGAAACGACGCAAGTGTACTGCAATATTGTGTCTTGTGCACAACGTCTGGCGACCACAGCGGCCGTGCCAGCCCCGATGTCAAAATGGCAGGGTCGTATGTATTTTTGAGTTTGGGAACAGCAGCAGGCATTCCGCTAAATAGCGTTGTTGAGAGAATTGTTAGGTACAGCGAAACCCTTGCAGCGGCGTCAGAGAAACGACGGGGTCCTCGAGATATATATGTACGATGCTTCAGAACAACTGCAAGATCGGGATCATTTCTGATTGTGCCCTCCTCTGTGTTGTCGTGGAACCAAGCTGAGATGAGGTGAAGCCGAAAGCAGCGAAAGCTCTCTAGACTATACTAGCTATGAATGGTTATTTCTATATTGCGTCGGCCGATTATTTGGATGCATGCACGCCCTCTTCAACTCCCGCCCAATCCAGGGCTAGATCCACGCGGTTCAGGAACCCTGCCAAAATTCTAGTCCCAGCGTCAAGCCTTTGCACTTGGAATGTCCTTAACATCGTAAGATTTCGCGTAATGCCACGCATCACTTGTTTCCGCTAGCCGTGCGCTACGTCATCGAGTGCTACCAGAACGTTGCGTTTGATACGGCCGCACCCACCCGTTGCTGCCTCGTTTGGACGTAGATGCTGATACACCTGGTGTTCGATCAACAAGGCGAGCTCTGGTCATCATCGTCATTTCGGTGGTCAATGTGAGCATCAACAGGCCTTGTTGTTTACATGCATGTCAAGGACACCCGACCTCGTCCGGCAAGGATGCGAGGGCATGCTTTGGAAACCGAGGGTTAGGGTTAGGGCTAGGGTTACTGTAGCAGTTTTGCACGTTGCGGCACCTAACGTCTCTTGCGATGATATCAACAGAGAGGCAAAGCTGCTCGAGGCTGGTGGGAAAAGCTCTACGCTCTGCCAACAGGTGGTGGCAGGTGAATACGGCAGGCTAACATCACGTTTCACATTGCTTCGTGGCTGACACGACATGTCGCAGGTACGACACCCCCATCCCGGGATGGATGTTGCCGGTAGTATGGAACACAGAAGAGGGGTTACCCCACAAGGGGGTCCTCACGTGCACGCATACTAGCAAAGCTGCTGGTCTCCGGCTCAACTGGATATTGCGAACGGCCCTCGCTCAGGTGATTATTTCCCCGTCAAGAAGAGAAGAAACATGACAGCTTCACTGGGGCCGCGAGGGCGGTCACCATGCAATAATTCCTTGAGACATTGAACAGTACGCGCCCTGCTGGGAGGAAAGAGCCCCAGAGTCAATAATATGTTCATCTTCCTATAGTCTGAACAAGTATGTGATAAGATGGCCTGAGCGCAGGTGCTTATCGTGGGAAGATAAGGGATTGGGGTCACGTCTCGTTCTGCCAGTACCATGAAGTCAGCACTTGGTACCTTGGCATCGTTGTGGGCACTTTCTCTGGATACATATTCCGTGATCGTTCCGCCAGTACTAAGAGCGTATCAACAAGGTATTTCTGGCATCTCGCACAAGGAATTTGTGGGCATTGGTAACTAAATATTCGGCAGGTTGGGACACTTGCGTCCTTTGGGATACTGTCAATACCGCAACCACCACAAGTGTCTAACTTTGGGGCTTGGGTCAGGGCTAGCACCACTGTAGGGCGCAAATGGGTCCGAGATACTTGGATACCGAGCAGAATACCCACAAAATTTTTCCTTTCGTCACGTCGTCGAGAAATCTGGAGGTTTTTGCAGAAATGAAAACAACAAATGCCCCATGACTGTTGAACACAATTGCTTATTGAGGCCACTTGTTCTCGCGCGGGGCCCTCAAACTGCATGCAGGTGGTCTCTCTAAGCGAAGCGCCCCCGGTATCCGCCCTGATAGTTGGCAGAGAAGATCACTCTCGAACTACCGGAGAAGGGACCAAAAGTGACAAGAACCCAACTATCACTGAGGCAACAGAGGGAACAGACCAGGTTGCGGAAGATGAACCAGAGAATGTTGGTATAGCTGGAAATCGCTTGGATGACTTGTACGGAAAGTTTGATAGGGAGTTCGTAGACTCTCTCTGCAAGCAGGCCGGCAGTGATTTTTTTCTCTATGGTGCTCACGAGAGAACCGACTGACACGTACTTGTAGCGCTCCTTGCAACTGGATGACTTTGGCTTTATCGTCTCCTATCGCATCAATTGCACGCTTGGACTTGAGCCGGCAACACTCGGGAGGACGCATGCGTTCTTGACATGGCATGGGCTTGTCTGTAGCAACCTGGGCGCTTCTCAGGACCATAGCGCTGTAGTCCTTCGCAGACATCTTTCGTGTGTGGTGCTACGTTGTTCCTCCCAAAGTGGCCACGTTCTACGAATCAATGATGTAAAACCTCTCCTTATTCTATCCAATGAGGTACATGTCGAGAGGCACCCTTTCTCTTACCAAGGGGCTGGCGGGCCGAACACCATATTCCATGTCTCGCCCAGTGATACGTCTGACCATGAGCACCATATCACTGACTGCAACTGGTTACTACACGTCCGTACCATTCTTGTCCAGGAACCAAACAATATCCAATTTCTTTCGTATTGGCTGGCGATCATACCTGTACTGCTTGAGCGATAACCCTCGCAGGAGGCGGCAACAGGCAACTCCCGCGCTCACTGAACACCGCTCCGATTACCTCCACGATGCCAAGTGCAACCGCAACATATACATTGAAAGCGCCTGAGCGATAGCCAAAAACGACATTTTGCAACTGCCAAAATAACTCCAAGTAGGGAAATGTTTTCAACAGCTTGTTGCTTAAGATCCTGACACACTCACAGCAACAGGCGAAGATGGGAAGGAAAATTGCCATGAAAAAAATGGAAAAAACGAAACCAAACACTACCATGCCAATTCCAGACACGACAAGATAGTCTGTCAACCAAGTTCCACCATTGGTGTCGCAAGACCGAAAGGTAGCAAATCTAAAGCTAGCCAACCCGACCAAGATGAGCAGGACCCCCCACGTAAACGGCGTAAGAAACCGTAAAAATAACCTTGCGCAATGACCACGGTTATCGTTCGGAGGAACTTTGTGAGCGGACTTTGCGTCGAGCGGAGAAGAGTATATTGTGGACAGCACGAGAGCGGACAACATCTCGTACACGACTCCCAACCACAGGGCTCCAACCACGTAGCTTTCAACATCACTAGGGTCACCAGCCTCCGCGAAACCGATGGAGTTACGGTAGATTTCGCCATCTACGAAACACAGGTCGAGCGACTTCAACTCGTAGATGACGCTGCCAATCGTCAGTAAATTTCCAACGAGGAAGAGAGCCCACTTTTGTGTCCGTACTTCCTTTTGCATTGTCGTCGCAGAATTGCCCGGCCCTGTGGTTGTCGCCATGGCTGAAACCTGTAGCATAATATAAGGTCGAATCCCTGCGTTATACATACAGTAGGTGTCCCGATATAGTGCCGGTTGAATACTGCCAAAGTCCGGTATAGTGCTGGTAAATTTTCTTGACACAGACACAGGCCTGAAAAGTGCCAAATCGGCACTTCTGAGGGTTGACCGTTTAGTGCCGGTCCAGGCACTATCGAACCCCTCATTAGTGCCGGTTCACACCCCACAGCCTTTTTTCGCCTCAAGCCTTCCACGCCAACAGGATTCGTAGACGGTTTCCCTTTGAGCTACAAGTATCTCGGTTTCTCTCGGTACGCGTGATGTCGTCAAATGTCACGGTTTACAGATCGACTAGGTGCCACCAATAAGCTGGGATTTCAGTAATGAGGCGAGCGAAAGGAAGATGGTGGTAGTGACGAAGGATATGAAAAATATAGCCAAGGATAGCAGTGATGATGCAGGAGGAAAATATGGCGTTGAGGGGAACAACAAGAGTTTCGAGCGAGATGACCTCCCTCACAACAAACGCCGCAGGGGCGTAGAATCTGAAATGAACGCCCGAAAAATTGTGGGAAAAAAATTGTGAAGGGTGGTGGTAAATATTATACTTCTAAGGAAGGATGAAAACACTCCGATAACGAACGCGTGTTCAAAGTAGTAAGCCTTGGCAGCCACGTTGTTATGCTCGCTCGGCCTGTAACCCCCCCACGTTATCCCATGTAATAACCCCTGGTTGGCCGGAGGTTACACAACGCCCCCGTACAACCGTGCCCATTGGCCACCGGTGGACACACCGTTGTATGTGTGCCATATTCCGCCCTTGCGTGTCTCAAAGAACGTGTTCGTGAGAGCTACATAGCCTGTTTTCCGTTGCGAAGTTCCACAGTAGCATGCCATTGTCGTTGAGCTCATCACGCCCGTACATTCCTATTACCCTTCCGTCCCCTCCGTCCAACCTATCTCCCGTCCGCGCGTTGGCGTCCAGTAGGAAATACACACATTCTTTGGAAGGGATCCTCCGCACGAGACTGTCAAGTTTTCCCCAGAACATGCGCTTGCTGTCGGCGGTTGAAGGTTCGGTTGGAGCATACGCGGCTACGAAGTTGACCGCTCCACGGTGGCCTGCCAACAGAAGCCTCATGGCCATAAGGCGTTCGTCGATAAACTCCGTAGTGAACGTGGATGTCTTGCACAATGACTTTTTGACGGCTATCCCCACACCATGGACTCCACCAGTCTCCGTGCCACACCAGAACACCCGGAAACCCGCTGCTGCAAACTCCGTTCGACCTGCCCTCCGTGTCTCCTGCATTCCTACCACCGATACGTCTTAAGTGTGAGGTTATGAATACTGTCCTGTGAGGTTGGGCGGAGCGACATATCGAATCACACAGTCGAAGGTAAACGGAGTCGATGAAGCCACCTAGCTAGTCATTCACGTAGTAGGTGTCCCGATATAGTGCCGGTATGTGTGTCCACGCGATTTGACCGGCACTATTCCGGGCACCGACCCTATTCAGAATTGTGCCTGAAAAGTGCGAAACCAGCACTATTCAGGGCCTGAAAACCCCTCTTTAGTGCCGGGTTGGCACTATTCAGGACTGTTCGACTTCAGATTACAGCGCTTGCGCTTTGCGGGGCCGAAAAAACCAAACGTGAAGTGGGCGACGTGGGCGGGCTTCATCGTGTTTTGTGGGGCTCTTCGACTGTCGAAAACAAGGCGTTTGTCGCAATAAAATTAAATTGATTGACCAGATAGATTTGTTGCACAGCAGCAGTTGTTCTCTTCCCACCTACTCGCTAGTGAAACGTTGCTGCCGCCTTTCAACCGTAGACCGTGCTGCCCGATAAAAGTCACCTCGCTATCAAATTATGATCTGTTGTATCGCAAGAAGGCCGTAGGGCTATTCACGCAACCTCAATAGGCACCCCTCGACAGCGAAGAAAGACGCTCATGCACGCACCCGATGTATGTACATCTGGAGGAAAAACATGGATGAATGTAGTGCTCCTTACATGAGCACACAAAAGTAGATGCAACCAAAAAAAGGGGTGAAGAAAATAACGAACTCCCCTGTTCCTTCGATAAAAGATAAAGACAAGACCACAAGCCTTCAGAAGCAAGAAAATGGACTGGCCATGCGCGGATTGGTGTGAATGAAGGAAAAGAAAAGAAAAAAATATGGGTGAGCCTTCGGATTGGTGTGAAGAGGAGAAAAGAATAAACTATGTGTTGTCGGAAGGCAAAAAAAAAAAAATGAAAGAAAAATAAAATAAACTATGTGTGAGTCTTCCCGCCCATTGCTACATTGTAGTCAAACTATTTGTGTTGTAGTTACGCAATACCTCGATTGGCGTTACTTTACGTCGAATTGATCGGCGAAGTAAACATAACACGGGGTAGATGGACCAGCAACTTATGCCTGCAAAATCTAACGATCGACCGCTGCGCTACATGTTGACGCCTATACCTTTTACCAAATTCTATGCTTTTATAGTAGGGGCGGAAACAATGGTGGCGACACCACCCACGCGGCCGATAAGAGCACACTTACTTATACTATGCGGTCCCCCCCACGCTAAAAGCAGAAACTCCGAGTAAAGTCCTCCGTTACGAATCGTTTAATGGCAAGTTTTTGTTCAGCTATGTTTTTATGTTCCACAGCAGCAACATATAATATACGAAGTTTAGAATTTTTAACAATGAATGGTGAGCGCGCAATTGTTTTCAGCAGAGATGTTATTATTATGTGAAAATACTGCATTCGACCACTATTATTTTATACTTTTTTAAGGAGACAGACGTACGTACGTGTTGTCGTATTGACTTGTACAGGAGAGGCAGCGTGTGTAGGTAGTATATCATCGCCTACTCTATCTCTCTTTTTCTCGGTCTTTGCGTTGCCCCCCAATCGTTGCCGTGCGTGTTTCTACGCAACAATATATATATCAAATATAGTAAGTAGTAGTAGGCCCATGTCTATGTTGCTTCCGGCACTACATCATGATCATCAGAAGATAAAGATGGCTCTTGCACTTAGGAACTTGGCAGTTAAGAAATGCGGCCTTGAAAGAAAGTCAAAATCAAAGAAATTGAAGACAAATAAATAATTACAACACACGTGCGTGCTCAGGCCCGACGTGGTGTCAAGAACAAGAACGAACCCGCCTTTCTTTGTGGTGTAAGAACAGAGGCCCCAAAACGCGACAGCTTCAAGATATAGTCTAATAAGCACTCACGAAGGGGTGAGGGGCTACTCGCGGGGTGACCGGTGGGCAGTTTGTTGCAGATCAGCGGCGAGGAGGAGGTTCCTTTGAAAATAGTACTGGTGCGGAGATGGGGTGTGTGTGGACTACTACTGTTTTGTATTATTGTGCGTCTAACGGTAGTCAACATTAGTATAATACAAAAATCGGACTTACAAATGCCGGCACTCTTGAAGCTTTTTTTTTATTGCCGTGAATGTCCAATAAATCGGTGTGTCGTGTACTCTGTGGACACCAGCTAGAACATAGTTCTCGCGGCAAGGCATGGACATTCTCGGGCTTGGACAACCCGCCTGCAACCAAGCACAGATACAAATGTCCCTTAACTGGGTTTGGGCCGGCGTTTCCGAATCCTGCCTAACCTTGGAGGTTGGCAACGGTGCGCCCGGCCGGGTTACGCAGGTTGTACAACGCCCAGGGGCCGCAGGTCACTTTAACCCCCCCGTAACCGTGCCCACTGGCCACCTGTGT